TTCCTGCTCATACAATTAAGGTAACTGAGTTTCAATAGTCACAGCTGCATGAAGCAGCTTTCTGATCCTACCTAGGTCAGCATGAAATACGACTGCATTCGGTGCTAGTTCAGAAATTGTGCTTTTTTTTTTTCCTGACATGGAGAAATGAGAAACTGAACACAATGTGTTCCATTTTTGAAATGGTGGCTCCTTTTAAATTCCATCCAGGATGGCAATGACTCAATACATCATTAAAATCCAAACCTTAAAGATGATCAGATTAAACTCTTCAAGCAGTAGCTTTGGATAAAGCATTGGATTTAGCCAGCATGATAAAAATATCTGAGTATTTTGGGAAGAATCCCAAACTGAGGCTGTTAGGATAACTGGTCTTCATAAAAAATATGCCTAGTTTTAGCTCTTCTTGCCATCAGCTGGGAGAACCTGCTCTGTTTTAGGCACGTTCTGGGATTCTCTAAATCAGTTGCTGAAAGGTTTCCTCTTCTTCCAGCTGCCCTCTCCAACATATGTGGCTCGTCACACTTCAGTGTTGTGCCATTCTTTCTCTCCGCGGGTATTATCCCCCTGAAAGAAATTATGCTCTTTCCTTTCCCCTCCATGCAAACACCGAGGATCTGTTCATCCCTCAGTGCTTCGGGACAGATCTCACCTTGCCAAGATACAGAATAGAAACTGTACTGCATTGCTCTCTATACAGTAGCTGATTTTATAAGAAGCTTTGCAGGAATTGCACCAACAAGCCCCTTTCCGGTTTTCACTCTACATTTCTTCTTTTTGGTATTAACTTACACAAACCATGTAACCTTAGGAGGGACAGCATGTAAAGACAAAGTGGTGTTGATAAGGTGTCGGTAACCCCAGTGTTGCCAGAGTATCCTGGAGAATCACATCTAGTAACTCTTTGTTCTTTTCCAGCATTTTTTTACTTAAGCATCCTGGCAGGATTGGCCAATATTAAATAATCCAGTTTTGTAACTCTCTTCTCCCTCAACAAACTAAATTAGCTATAGTTCCTAGTTTAGCAAAGGACAAAAGGAGCTTCAGACAGACATTCACAGCAAGGTAGCAGTATAGCCAAAAAGTAATCCCAAGTTTTCCAATTCTCTGCTCCCTACTGCCCTGGTTCACGGACCCCATCCTGAGCTTTGACCTCTCTTCCATTGCCTCCCTTTTAAAATACTTTTAATGTAGTGATTTCTCATTTCAGGGTGTGATTCCCAAAAACTAGATTTGCTCATGTGTGGCTTTAACAGGGAGGAAATATAATGTGCTTGTTAAAGGCAGAGCCTTGTAGTCAGGATTTTTAGGCTGTAGCTTTAGCCTTAGCTTCATCTTGATTTGTTTTTGTTTCTCCACCTGTAAAATGGAGTGGTGCTTAGTGATTCATGTCACAGAGTGTTATTAAGCCACTTGAATGTATGGGAAATACCCTGAAATCTTAAGACAAGTGCATATGATTAATTAATTTATTAAATCTATAATCTCACCAAATCATCTCTTTGGAAGAGCCTTAATTCAATGTTTTATTAATAGAAAAGCAATTATGTTGCTGGCTTATCAATCATGTGAATGGAACCTTTCTTTTTCTTTTTTTCTTGCAGTGCGGATGGTCCTTCCTCTGAAATTATGCAGATAGATTTTGAAATTGAAGACCTAACTGACCTACCTGAGACCCAGCTCATCACATGGCAGGTAGAATATCCTGGAGATACAACATCTGATCTAGGAATCTCCCAGATCTACGTGAGCCAGAAGGACCTGGTAGGAGTCCTCCCTTTGGCTATGGTAAGAAATTGTAGTTGCTTTACAACTCTAGTGTCTGACAGAGGCAAGTGATCTGCTGAAAGGGGTGGGGGAAAAGCAAATTTCAGCACCTTGAGAAGCAGATACTAAATTCTGAAGTTTGCTTCGTTCAGCGGTGAAACTGCATGAGGGGAAACAGTAGCTTCCATGGAAGGCCCAGTCACGCTCTTTTTGACCAATACACTGACTTCTTGGAGGCAGAAGCTGAGTTCATGGCATTTCCAGTGTTCAGAACTCATCTTGTTGAGGTGGTATACCTGGACACGCCGTTCAATGTGGTATATGTCTTACCTGAATCACAAGTACTCTTACATTTGGTCTAGTGCTTAAGGACTTTCTGAATCACAATTTTTTCAGTTTTTGAATTCTGACTCCATATTCATTTAAGAGTGAGAAGAGAAGTAAAAGTCATGGTATGACTTCTGAGTAATATATAATTATCTGGGGAACACAAAATACAGCACATAGGCAACTGTCTGTTCTGCATAAATGCATTCAAATGGGTTGCATCACTGTCACAGTGCAAACTATAGGGCTTGAAAAATACCTGATTCTTCAGCCTTTGTCTTCCCTAAAAAACCTGTTAGATACAGAAATTCCAAGTGCAAACAGAAATTTTTTGCATTTCCTCTTGTCTCCCCTTCACATTTCTTCATTGTTATGGATGAAGTATACTTGTGTAAGGTCTGGCTGTGCCCCATTTTTGTTCTTAGACAATCTATTAGAAAATATTGACACGTTATTATTTAGCACTGGAAGAAAACCTAAAATCAATCTCAGAGCATTTAAAAAAATGTAACCTGGATGTTTGCCTAGTGATAGCCAGTTAATTATGCCCTTATTGAAGGCTGAAGGTGTTCTCTGCACTTCCATACTCAAAGAACTGGCTATTATTGTTACTTACCGACTTCAGAACTACTCACATGTCATGATTCTTTATTTCACCAGAAATATTTCTTTTCTTTTGTCGTGGCACATGCTTTCATTACCAAGGTGTATATCACAGTTGAAACAGCTCTCTCCAACTAGTATTGTGGCCATCTAACACATCAGAGTTGTGGAACTAATCCTTTCGTTTTGCATGACTGTTTTCATGGACTAGTTCCTGCTGTTGAACAGGGGGTGATCTTTTCTGGTTTGTTGATAAGAGAAGAGGCTTTCAAGTCTACAGGTGGGACCCTGATGTGCAGTCACACAAGTTCTGGAGTATTGAGGGTTAGGGCTGTGGAGGTGATCTTATCTACATAACCTGAGGTATAGGGTTTTTTATTCGATCCACCCCTTAATGAGAGGATAAAATATTTCTTTCCTTGTTCCAGTGGTTGCAGAAAACACTAGTTCTTCTCATACATGCCCACGATCCATGTTTGCTTTAGTATCAAGTGATATAGTGGCCAAAAATAGTTTATAAAAACAAAGATAGATTCTCCGGGCAGTTGCTACAAAGCAACTCACTCTCTTCATTTCCATTAAAAGATGAAAAAAAGCCCTTTTTCCAGAAGCACAAAATTCTATGCTCAAAGGTCACAAGTTATCAGTAGGTGGCATTTTACAAGGCAACAGGTGTTGGGATAATGGGTAAGAGAGAAAGCAAAGATAAATGGCAGGAGTCCCCTAATTACTGACAGGCTGGGAATAATTTTAACCTTCTTTGCATTAACTGGAGTGTCAGGGAAGAATCTCTGGGGTATCACAAATCTCCAAATCTTTGTAGTATTTCACTTTGTGCTTAGGAAATGATGATTCAGGTGCACACCTTTCAAGACGTGTAACTTAGATGAGTTTGGTACTTCAGATTTCCCTGTGATCTTAGCAAAGCCAGTTTGTAGTTTACAAATTTAAAATAAAACAATAAATAAATTCTACTCTTCCATTTAGGAAGAACCACAGTGAAAACAGCATGTTATGTTACATTTCTCTGTTTCTGGAGACTGAAATTAATTTGGGTTAGTTTTGCTGGGCTTCTTAGCAGAACATGTAATTTCATGTTCAGAAGCACCAAACAGAAATGCTGTTGAATATTTCAATTACTGGTTAGTTTTTCAAAAGAATGATTTTACCGCTTTAACGTTAGGAAGAGCTTTGTTTTTTTAATAGTCTAGTACATACCACCTCTGCACCATCTTTGTTTTCTGTAGTCTTTTCTGCCGGCTGTTATGGATTTGTAAAGTGCAAAGCAGAAGATTGGCCAATTCCGAGTTTCCTGGTCTCGTTTTTTTGAGTTACAAAATGTTGCAATGGAAAGACTTAAGTGTATGTATCAGCATCAGGACACACTGGAAATGCAGACCTTCTGCTGAAGTTATTAGGACACTGGCTGCACGCACCTTACCCTTCTCCAGTGCAGTTTTTTTTTCCTATGGCATATTAGCCTTCCATCTTTTGAGACCCCTGCAGGGCCCTACACCAATAATGGCAACACAAGTCACAGTAGAGCACTCAAGGATATTGATGAGAAAAGTTGTAGGGTGTATTTTATGGCTGTGTGGGTACCATAAAGGCTGATATTTATGATACTTTAATAAGCCCTTTTCTAATTTTAAAGTGTAACAGAACCCATCTTGGTAAGCTGTGCATGGGACCCCAGCCGGCTCTTGTTAGCAGAATGGGAATAGCATGGGAGAAGACATTTAATGTGAGAACACGGTAAGAACCTGTGAGCACCTGTTTGGATATTAGCACTGCATGATTCTTTCCCTTAAGCCTGATGGAATACAGGCAAAGGTTATAAAAAATTATTGGCCTTTTATCATGATTGCTTTGCAGTGGCTCTTATAGCCACATAGCCGTGTCTTGCCTTGTTGACAGAAACGAAAACATCCATTAAACCCCATGGAAGAGGTAGATACTTGTATGGCATAATGTTCTTCACCCGCACAGTTTCCACTGTAATTTGTGCATTTTTTCCATGGGCACTATTCAAAACTTTCCCCATTTCCCTGCCAGCTTTCTCACCGCAAGGTCTGTGTCTCCAGGTAGTGTGTGTCCAGGGAGCTGGAGAAGACGGGTCTTAAGAACATGTTGATTGGTACAGGAATTATAGGAACAGAGTGCTTTATTCTAGATGGAGAATTCTGGACAAGGAATGCCAGAGGATTACTCCATGGTAATTATTGAAAATTATGGCACACTGGAAAAAAAAAACACCCCACAAGTAAATAGTGAACAAGCAAAAACCTTCTATGTTGTTCTTTGTTGTCAACTAACTTGCAGCTTAATTCTCTTTAAATGTAATTTTTTAACATTCACCTGTAATAGGGTATCCTTGGAGACAGAAAGTCCAGCACCTCTTAAGACCTTTGAAATACGGTATTAAAAAGACATACGGTCCATTTGTTCATTAACTGCCTTGAACGTGCTAAACTGCTGAGGGTTTTTGAGTTGAGGACCTGCAATGTAGTGTGACAGCCAGTGAGAATAATATGCCTGAATCTTCTAGAACATGACATTATTTTTTATTGGCATCGTAAAGAATCAGCTTCCAATTCCTATTTGACTTCTTTCTGGTGTTTCTTCCCTATTTTGTTTCACACTCATTTTGTTAGGTGATGAATGGCAGGGGTTTGATCACTCAAATTGTACATTTGCTGCTATTGATTATTGTTGCTTTTTAAACATTCTGTCAGCTCTTTCATAATTGTGGTGTTCACCTTTTGTTGAACCTTAATGATTAGGTGAGGATGAGAGACAGGCGAGCTCTGTAGCCATCTGTGTACATACAAGATAATCCCTGCTGAGAAAGGCAGAGGGCAGATATGACATGCTGGTAAATGGATAAGGTGAAATCTGTTCTGTAAATAATAATAATAAAACTGGCAAATAATGAAATACCTGAGCTGGTTCTTAACTGAACCTGCTCTGAATCTGCAAATCACCTGTCTTACCTGTGTATATGCTCTATAAGCATATTCTATCTGTGCCCTCCCTTTATTTAATAATCTGATAAGAAATCTGGGCAAAATACCCATTTCCTAAAACTCATAGCGGGAGATGTTGGTGGCAAGAGTTGATAAATCCATTACTAGAGTAGTCTTTTGACTGGAAAATATACTATGTTAACTTTACTTTCTCCTTGAATACAGAAAAAAAGCATGTGCAGGATGCTGTGTCCCTCCAGAAGTTTCTTGAAAAGGTTGCAGGTGCCTGACCTTCAATTTTTGAAAAATTGTTGTCTGCATACGTGTTTTAAGTTTCTAAATCAGCAAGTTAGTATTAGAGTCAGCCTGGCTCTCACAAATGCCCTGATACTCAAGGCATTATTAGGTTTGAAGATACGGATATGGACCAGACGTTTCAGGTGGTGGTAGGGCGTATGAAGCTGATGAAGAAGCCAGGAGGTTGGAGCACCCTTGTGTATAAAAGGTGTGTGAATCTGGATTGCTTTCCTGAGAGACTCCCCAGCCCTTACAGATGAACTATTCTTAATGCCAGCTATAACAGACTGCCTTGCACGATCTGTGCGACTAGGAAACGGCAGAGAAGTTTTGCCTTCCAGAGCAAAAATCCTCGAGTCATGGTTGGTAGAGGCTGAGCGGCCCTGGATTACCTCATACCAATCATGATATTAATATTTTCATAATTCAGATTTCTTGCTGCCCAGAGAATCTCAGGCTTGCTGGCTGGCAGGACAGCTTGCCTGGCACGAGGGCTGAACCAGCAGGATTCGCCTCATCAGGGACTGGCAGGACAGGCTGCCGTCAGTCTTTATCAACCTCGGCTCCGCTCTGGGGCTTGGTGAGCTTTATGCCTGTATGCCCATGGAGTCCCTGTCTTTCCTTCTTACTGAATACATTGGGACAGCCCTTAGATATGTTTATAATCTAGTCAGCATCAACCTAAAAAATCACCTTATTATCAGACACCTGAAATGGACAGGAAGAAAAAATGGGGTTTGAAACCGGATTAATGGTACAGTGGTGAGGTTACAGTCTGCATGGCAGAGGCAAGAACTCCAAAGACAACCTTCTGTCCCTCCCAGCCGT